GAGTACGCCTGTTGTGTCTTGTGGAGGCCAGGTCGTGTGTGGCACGCGCAGACGGGCCTTGATAGCATCTTGTCATCAGGACCAGGTGGGACGAAGAGGCAGTGCGGTAGGTGCAGTGTAAGTCGCCATACTACACCCACTACGTTGGGTTACGTGATGTACGTTGTCGCATGCGACGGCCGAACTGCCATGTTTACTACGGTTGGCTTCTGATTGGTTCCCATTTTCGTGCGGCCAACCAGTTGCTTGGTATGAACGAAGAGCACTGACGACGACGACTTAGCTCACTGGGACGTAGGCCTGACTTTTGTGCGACTAGAATCGGCAATATTACATTCACATATTGGGATTGCCCAAAGAACACTCCGACCTCCTCACGCACGCATGCGCACTGTTCATGACATCCCGATGGGTAATTGTCCAGGAGTACAAGTGTCTTTAGGACAGGGTAGGTTTTCGCCAACACTGCTTGTGTGGGAGATACTGTTCTAGTACGGACCTCGTTATGCCTCCTTTTTGAAGTGCCCAGGCTTCGGATTCAAAGCCCTCGAAGTGTACTTAGCTCTGACGGCGTCTACCGGATTTCACCCTTTTGTCCGTAATTACCCACTTCAGATCTTCGGTTCACGACTCGGGCGCCATAAAATTTGCCGTTCATAGCGACCCTCGAAACAGTTCACAGTTTTAGTAATTTCGTCAGGACCTGTGGTTCGTTTTCGCAATGGAAACCGGCGTTCTTGGGTCATGGATGTCAACCCTGTTACCTGACAACCGCCAGGCGCATGATAAAGGGAGTGGAGCCTGTCATCTATTCACTGGTGAGACAGGTGCCTGCATTTCTCGGTAAATTAAACACCGGCAGCGAAATTTCCCTGCCGTGCAGTGGTCTTTCTTCCTAACTTCACCAAGTGAGGTATGCAGGACGACCTCGTTGATCATGAATGCTCAGAGATGCGTCGTGTGACTGAGCTGGCATGGCTGCGGTGGTTGTGGCGAGGAAATTCGCAACGAGCTTATAGGTAGAGTCCGCTGAGAAAACCGCCTCCCCACATCGAGGAAGCAGTTTTCGTCGCTTGAAAGCGCATAAACGACCGGTAGCGGTCGATGCAGAGAAGCGGCTGCTGACCACAGGTGAGGGCGTCCAGCGCGTGTCATCCCACCCGGTAGTCGAGGGACTGACTCACTGAACCCCCCACCTCCAAACGAAAAGCTCTACAGAAAGGATGACGTGCAACCCCGTAGGCGATCAGGCTAATTTGGGTCATGTTTCCACTATAGACAGGTGGTGAGGCAATGGAACTCGATAGCGTAAGCCCGGAATGTTCTGATGGCAAACCGTCCAGAAAGGAGGACGGCACTGGTTAACTGCGAGCAGGCCCGCCACACATTGGGTATCGCGGCTCTCCGTGTGACCTGCTTCTCTGAGCAGAAACAACTGGTGGGTGCCAGGTACACATTCCTTTGAAGCGCACGCTCAAGGGCGGGGCGACAAGATGGCGGAGTCGCCTTGGACATAAGGAACGATGTGATGAGAATGCTGTTCTGTTTGCCGCAGGGTGTCAGTGATAGTTTCGCAACCATGAGGTTATCATTTCACGGAAGCGAATCCAACTGGTGGGTGCCGGTCACATATTCCTTTGAAGCACACGCTCAAGGGCGGAGTCTCCTTGGTCTTAAGGAACGATGTGATGAGAATGATGTTCTTTTTGCCGCAGGGCGTCAGTGACAGTCTCGTAACCATGAGGTTGTCACGTCACCGAAGCGAATCCGCCACCATTGTCAGCACCCACATCCCCCAAAGATGTAAAAAAAAACAAGCTCTACGAAGACCTGCACGCCGCCACAGCGACTGTGTCAAAGGCAAATAAACCAACTGCTCTTGGCGATTTCAGTGTCCGCATCGGCATGATCACGTTGTCTGTAAGGGGGTGCTCAGTCGCTACGGGGTCGGCAGCTGCAAGAGCGATGGACTGGCTGAACCGCACGGAAAACTGAGTTCACCTGGGCAACACGTTCCCCTGCCTCCGGGAGGTGACGTGGATGCACCGTCGCGCGCGTCACTGGTATCCGTGGGGTCACACCGTCGTTTGCCGGGATGATTAGCCTGACGCGTCCGCGATATGCAGTGGTAGCCTCTGCACGAATTACGGGATGGTTATCCTCAAGGTGAGGCTACAACGACAACCTCGCAGACAACCACAATGTGGCTAAAAATCAGGTAAATTAAATACTGTGTTGCCTGGCAAGGTTTAACGCCAAATTAGTTTTAGTTGTCACATCAAATCCAAACTGGAATCAGTGCAGACCCTGGGAGGCACATAACAATGTCGAAATCCAGTGGAAGTACCCGCGGGTACCATCCAGATCATCGTCATGGAAGCGTTCGGCCGAACACATCGTCAGCACCATGGTTGATGTGACAACACTAGATGAAGGATACAAGCGAAGATGCGAGTTCCAGAAACTAGTTAATCAGAAGAAGAAGCGACCGCTGGAACAAGGGCTTTATTCGCCTGACGTCTCGGATTCTCACTTGAATCCATCATCAGAGACAGTGGCAGAAAAGGGTGACTCGTGCACAGGATGTTGCACACAGACCGGAGGCCACCATGAGGCGTCAGGTGATGAGACCAAAAGACCCACTGCCACGGCAAGAAAAATCTGAAGTCGTTTACCGGATCTGGTGCATTTGCGGATAAAGCAACTACGTCGAAACTGGAAGACTGATCCGGACGCGAATCGCCGAACACGTGGCAGCTGTACGGAGAAATGACGCCAACTCTCAGGTCGCGGCCCATTCGACGAGACCCGGCCACACATTCAAGTTCGATGAGGCTGAAAGTCTCGCGAGAAGGGATAATCGCGTGAGCTGCGAGTTCCTTGAGCCATGGTTCACGGGACCTCAGTCTATCAACAGGTACAACGACATCCCCACTCCATATTCCGTGCTGAGACATAGGCTGGCCAAGGTAATTGACCACTCGGGGAGCGCGCAAGCCGGTGAGCCAGATGACCGAGCAATCATCACGCCAGCATCCAACACGGGTGATGACATTTCAGCAATTAACAACTTGCATGCCGGCCATCAAGCAATTAACGCACCAGCGGGCAACAATCCTTGATGAAAGGGAGCGCGGTTAATTGCTATAGGTATGCGGTAGCATAGCGACTGCATCCTATAAATACTGCAACTTCCTGTGAACGAGTTACTCTTTTCTGCCCCTGTCTCTGATGATGGATTCATGTGAAAATTCGAAACGTCGGGCGAATAAAGCCCTTGTTCCAGCGATCGCTTCTTCTTTTTCTGATCAACTAGATGAAGGATTCCGCAGTATACCCTCCGAGAACCAGGTTACACACGACCCACACAATCGATAGCAAGGCCAATACTTCCGAGGCCGACGCCTAGTAGGGGTAGAACGCTTGGCTGACACGCAAAGCTGAAGAAATTCCGACCGCGATGCGAGGAAGAGATTTCTTCGCGGTCATCAACGCAGTCTGAAGTCCACGGGCCAAGGGGCTGCGTCACTGGTGTGACAGGACGGAACGGTTCACCAGGCACGGAAGCGGTGGGACACCTGCTTCTGGGGCGTCCCTAACTACCCATCCCAAAGTTGTGTAGGAGTCACCAACCAACTTCCTCAAGCGGATACCAACGACCACCGCGATCGTCGGTCTTCTCTCCTTGGAATAATCAGATCAGTCCAACGGTCTCTCAGTAGAAAAGTACCGGGAGCCGACGCAATCACAACCGAAGTTCACACGTACGATGGGCCACAATTCATGGAAATGTTTAACCCACTGCTACAGGAGATTTGGCGGCTAGGATAGATTCTCCGAGACATCAAGGACACCATTATTGTGCAGATTTATAAACGCAGGGGTAGCCGGCGGCTATATGTCAACCACTGAAGCATTTTCCGTCTTATTAGTGCAAGAAATGCTTCGCTCGTGTCCCACTAAGTCGTCCGAATGTGTATATGAGCAGGAACTTCTTCCAGAAACGCAGTGCAGATTCTGGAAACACAGCGGAACCACGGACATGATCTTTGCGGCTAGCCGACTGAAAGGAAAGTACACGGAAATGAGAACCAACTCATACATAGACTTCATAGATCTGACAAAGACAGAGCATCATTAAATGGGTAAAAAGACTACCAAGGCGGAATATTTACCTTATCGGTGAGTACGAACACGCACATACTGGTAATTTCGACGCGGACCTCGTGTGTTTGGTGTAATGATAACCAGAATGCCAATCCGCATAGGGAGTGACAGGATTATGGAAACCGGACCCCCCCCCCCTTTGATTGGTGGACTGAATGGTGTCCGCATTGAATTACAGACACCACGCGACGTGAGCATGACAAATGAACGCTCAACGTCACAGGTGCTGATCAGGACTCCAAAGCGCTGAGTAGCACGCCGCAGCCTAAGACGTTTCTCAATGCGTGTGTCCCGACGTGGCCCCAATGGCTTGCCACTCGTGCTGCCTTTCCCGTCTGTAATCGGTCTTCTGCTTTGCACACATAATAATCTGGAGTTGAAACCGCACTTTGTCGTTGGTCAGTGCGCTAAACTGGTAGCAGTTTTTTTTAAATGGAACCTTCACTTGCCTCAGTTGGTCATCTAGCACACCGTGGCTGGCTTAATGGTGCGACGAAATTCAAATCGGGCTGATGGAGGAGACCAAAGTGGTGAGGTAGAAAAAATAAATAATATTGTAAGCGCAAAAAATAAATAAAGGGAATCGAACATCTGTTTGTCTTGTTCTGTACATCAACCCGCCTCACAGTCGCGACACAGGAAAGTGGCTGAGTTGCGGCTACCTACACACAACTGGTGGTAGCGGGAATTGCAGTGTGTACACGTGACCCAAACGGCTGATGGGGGTGAAATGGAGGTGGGGGGGGGGACTGGTTACCGCATTCGCGACACACTGTAGCATTTTTTGCCGCGACCGACTCTCCAGTCCGGGAGAACTCCCCAAATTCTGCTTTTCAAGGTTGTGAGGAGGATCTTGCTCCAGACGGTGCCGAAGAACTACCGCCCTCGTCCTCCTCCTGCTGTAGGAAGTCTCCTAAATCCACTTCACTTGTGGGAAGTTCAGAAAAGTGGCCATTTGAGTTCGAGTCCTCACAGTCGAACGAAGCTGCTCTGGCGATTGAGGGCAGCGCGCGGGGAAACCAACCTAGCGTCTCGCGCCTGCAGGTGCATTTCGAGTGCGACAGAGACTGAGGGCGCGAGCTAACCTGGCGCTCAATGCTATTTAACCAGGCATCACATGATTTCAGTAGGTCTGGCAGGGCAGCTGCATCGGACTTCCGGAAGACGCTTTTCAGCCTCAGAACAACCTCCTCAAGAGCGAGTCTTTTCCTTTGATCCAAACTGGCCCGCTCAAATTCTATAAATAATCAGGGAAAAGGCGTCCACAAACCTGTCGGGGATTCGCCAAGATCCCGGCAACGAACAACTTCACCGAACGAGTTGGCCTGACAGATGTCGGTGGACTCAGCGTTGGGGACATTAGGCTCCACTGCGGTCTGATTCATCTCGTGTGGGTGAGTGAGTCGATAGCGCAGTTGGCGAATGTCGGAGAGTTCGTAGGCCTTCTGAAAGTTGTCTAGACTGCGGTTATTCAGGAAACAGCCAAAGACTGACGCTCCTACCTCTTATGAAATCCCGCAGGACCTGATTGCTTGCCTTTGCCCGAATGAGCTCCCTCACAGTGCTCTTTTCGCTAGCAGTCAGTCGGCGCTGGCTAGGATAGATGTTGGGAGCACCAACCGTCACTGCGTGATTGTGCAACATGCTGTAGCGAATGATCTGCAAACCGGCTGCCGAGCCGCGCACCTCGAAATAGGCCGGACATCCACTGCGAAGAGTTCTACAGAAACGAGGTTAAAACCACGGATGAAGTAGACGGACACCTGCGTTTGCACTGGGGACGTGCTCGACTCTCGTAGGTACCGTAGTGAATACAGACGTAGCTGAAGCGCTTGTACACTAGACGTTTGGCTTCCGGGTCGTGAGGTGAATAGCGATGGGAGACGCGAAAGCGAAACACCGAGCCGGTTTCCTTTTGGCTGGAATGGGTGGGAAATAATGATGTACCTGTTCAAACTGCTTCACGCTGGTACTGAGCTCGGCAAAGGAGTTGAAGTTGGAAAGTGTAAACATTCGGCGAAATTTATCGTCCAGATCCATGTTCGGTAGAGTAGCACACTGTGGTTAGTTATTGTGACGGCTGGAGAGGCATGGAGGAATAAATTAAGTGAGCGGGACGAAAGCATCTGGTTAGATAACTAATTCTTAGGAATCGGAGGAATGAGAATGCGCCTGACAGGAGAAAGAATTTAAAGAACTGGATCACCCAACAAATTGACAATGAATCTAAATGACTCCACTCTTGCCCCTGAAACCACCAAAAAATCGGTATACCAGATCCGTCATAAAACCAAAAATACACGAAAAGAGAACGAGGATAGCTTTCTGTTGAACAAAAGACGAGGGAATACATCCGGTCAGATGCTGGCCAAATATTTCAAGAAACCTGCGTCGAGGAAGTTCCATAGGTTTGAAAGTGAGCGAGGGAAATATTTTAGGGTGGAAGTGAGTGGTTTCTGATGACATCATATTTCATAACGACTTTGCTGTCTATCATACTGCAAAGCCCTGAAAGACTTATAGGTAACTGGCTCAACAAAGCTGAGTTCGGAAGTAACCCCAGGATAGGATCCTTCAACTCCAACGATGAATTAACTGGGGTCTTATATCACCACCAGATTGGCTTCCATATAGTATCGCAAACTCGCGTTCTCGATATCGTATACGCCTATAATTATGCCCACTTTGGTAATTCATGACAGAAGTGGCTAGTCTTTAATCGCAAACCAAGATAGGCTGGTGCGAAAACTGAAGTACCTGTCCGCAACTACTAAATTTAAACGCTTCGGCCTTCGTGTGGTGAAGATATGGATGCAGTCAATGGGTTCGTTTGCTATTTTTACTGTAAAAGCTCCAACCCCAGCAACAAGCTTAAGGAAATTTATGCTTTGCCACGGCACACTTTTGTTACCGTTGAGCACGACATGACGTCTTTCTTCTTGTGCATCCGATCTTATGCAAGAGCGAGATTAGCAAGGCCCTTGAGATGTGGAATTCCCGCAAAGTTGGTGAGGTGTACCGTGAAAATACAAACTAAGATGGCAGACGGCGGGCGGACATCCACGAAGGAGGATACAGACGCTGATCTTACGGTCATATCTTAGCACTGAAGTGGATTGTAATCGTCTGGGAAACATTTTGCTGACCAACAACTGCGGAACCTGTTGGTTCACAGTTAACCGTGACAGACAATAAAACGTGAAGTCCGAAACACTCCATAAGCATCTACAAGCTAAGAGAAACTATCTTAAGGACTTTAAGAAAACTATTGTTGTTGTTTCGGCCAGCATCAGAGTCCACCGCAAAAAGCCCCGACGAATCAGACTGTGTAACGCTGCCAATACACCCCAAAAGCGCACGCAATCAGTACTTTCGCATTAAAGTTCGCAATGATGTCTAATATGTCAGAGCAACATGATCGTCTCCTACTGCGGTGGCGGTAACGCAACAATCGGGACCACAAACAGCTACCCTGAATTGCCAGCAGGGCAGAATTTTGAGCTAATAGTACCAAGTACAACGGTAAAGAGAATGTCCTTAACTGGCTGCGTGATATGCCTTTCTAACTGAATGAAATTCTGCAGCCTGACAACACGTGCACTGCTTAGATCCTTTGCGCCCGCGTGGCTGGATGAAGGATTATCAACTCAGACGCCATGGAATAACGCATGTGACTACCTAAGAAACCTGTTCGAGTCGGCGCACTCGGTGGGGGCGGTTATCCAGCAGTCGTCCAGACGTCGACATCGACCTGTGGAAACCCCCAAACAGTTTGCCAAAGAAATTGGTCGACACATAAGGGTAGGTTATTTTTTTCTCTCGCTGCTGCAGACAGGGATAACGCGATGGAAATAGCATCTTATCAATGGCCGCGTCGGCAGATTTATCCCATCCGCCGATCGCACAACCACCAGGAGGTCTTCAAGATTCGGACGAGCGAGTAGACTGCTATATACGTAGACGCAGCCACACACACTTCCATCGGTTATATTCCCTCGACTTTATCACACGCCATTCTCGTCAATTGGTAGACACATTCTCCCATATCCACATGAGTCGCCCACTCACTGGACAGATGGTACTACAACTTCAAGAGTTATTATGGCTCGTACATAACCTCTCCCAGACACACACTCAGGACCAGTGGTTGAACAAAAGAGGGTTTATTTCGACCGCAAATGTATACGGCAATCAGTATCGGCCAGGTGATTTGGTGTAGCGGTTCTGATCTCTTTCCCCTTTAGGCACGTCGGCAAAGCTCATTCACCATCCTCTCACAATTTTGCTGACGCTATCCATACCGCTGCCTGTGTCCTCCGCGATACCTCGCTATTACGTACGCTGACTTTCACGTCACACTTCTATAATTTAAAACCATACCGGGAACGATTGCCCATCATTCCTTCGCACTTGGTGCCGGCGACAGCTCAAGGATAACCCTGCGGACAGGACCCCTTTGAGAGGTGAATGTAGTGGGTGGCATGATCATTTCTGTTTAAACCGGCAGAACAAACGTGTGATTTATTTAGGACGCGGGAGGCGAGCCTTGAGTGCTGGACTCTTCCTTTCACTGTCTTGTAGTGGAGGACGTCGAGCCATTTGTTCCCGCATCGAAATCTATGATTATTATCCCTCCAAAACGCTGGGCATGCTTGCAACAGTAACTATTCTATGAAAACTGTGCATCCCTCCACCAAAGCTACAAGATCGTTTCTGCCACTTACAAAATATACTGTTATTTACTGCGTAAGTCTCTTAATAAGAAACATAGTTGTTTGGATTATTAGACGTTTGTGTAGTCCATGATGATAAAACAGATATGTTTATAACCGAGCGATGGTTTATCAATCATCTGACGACAATAGAATTAGGGAGAAAACAGATCCAAGAATTCTTACACAATCTGATCTGCGGGAGGACACGCAGACTAAGATGTCCAACGGTCGACGAAATTGGAGATGGCGCACAATTAGCTATGTAGGACACTATGTAGTTACTAGCTAGGAATATGCTGGACGGAGTCGCTAAATTCGTCATCAAGCACACAAACGAATAAAGTGGAAAATTGATTAGCTGAATACAATAGCTATACTATTAATGGAAATCGAGCCTGTATTTAAAAGACAGTTAACGATATAAGCAGGGGATATCGTCACACGTGTAACATTGTCGGTGTGGATGGGGGAGGCGGACGGTAGTACGAGACAGATTGGCGAGCGGGATTTGAGGAAACATCAGCGGTTATGAGAAGACGGGCAACAATTATCTACGACGGCTCGACTGTCGTTACCAACGACGGCCATTCTGTACTCCACAGTAAAGTGCGTGCGGGGATGGTGACTTGCGCGCAAATTATTTTAGTGGTAGTAGACTTGCGACGCGTCTATAGCACCCTTTCCCCCCTCACCCTCCTGGGCCCGGTGTCAAGACAGAGTCAAGAAGACCGGAAATGGGATATGGCGCAGGTAGCTGGTGCGGCGCGAGCCGATGCATGCCACCATTACCATACACGGCACTTTCTATGAGTGTGCAACCCGACAGCACGTGCTGAACCTTGATCTGGCCTCGTGTTAAACTGGCGAAACTTTCGCGTGTCTCGGCTGTCCACACCCACACTATGCCATGGTGAGCGCATCCTGGGGACGTGTCCCCTTCACGATTGAAACAAAAATTCAGGCAGATTTGGAGGTAAATTAAGCCCTCTAACGATCCATTTCAGCAACGCCGTTCACTGGGTCCTGCTCACAGGGTCCTGCTCACAGGTTTCCTCGACCATAAGCTGGTACGCCTGGGTGAGAACCAGAAATCCTAACCGTCAGCCAGTCCAAGGTGGCCTATGTAATGCCGTATGGGTACGGAACTTTAAAAGCAAAGCATATCTTCAACTGATGCTGGTCAAAACAAAATGGGAATGGTAGGACGACGTGCCCGACCGCCAAGAATGGAATGCGCGAAGTAGTTCTCAACTGACATTTTGTCTCTCCCGCTCGAATTTCAGTCTAGTAAATGGAAACTGTCGGCAAGCTGCTGCACATTTATTCTGTACTTTTTCAGACACTGCTGCTGAGCTAGTCTTTTGATTATTGCAATTTTCTGTGCCTTCTTTTATAAGTTCTGTTACTGTTTTTTTTTCGATTGGCCAATTCGGATCTTCACTGATCTCTTTAATTTCATGTGTCATGTTCACTTTTTTCGTTTTTTTGCCTCCAGTTCGATATTCTTCCGGTCAGACTCTACCTTTTCAATTTACGTGAAACCTGCTGATCATTTCTTGTTTATTCTGTCTTACCTATTAGCTTCTGAGTGATAGCGAACTGGGATTTTTGATGCCAGCATCGGTCTCAACGTACTGCATCAGATCGACAATTAATTATTCTGACTTTTCTTCTTTTCACTCGTGGTTGTATTTTCTTTTCCTTGCTTTATTCTGCTTGCATTGTTGGCATTGTCTGCAACTAGTACCCATCTTATTTTACCCTATTCCTAATCAACCGGAAATCAAACGCGCGATAACTATGGTCCCGGTTGGCTGCAATAAAAATAAGAAGGTATGTAAGGGTGGTTTTTTAGCGTTTTTGAAGGACGACATTTTCGTAACACGGTATCCTCAAGGAAACCCACTCACTGTTAGAAACCCAGATCACCGGAGCCCGCATGGCCCTAAAAAGACCTCATGGCTCGTCCTCCACCCTCGGCGCGCTTCTTAACCCACCCCTCCTGCGTGACTTTTTATAGAATAGAATAGAATAGAATAGGTTTATTGTAGCGCCCCTTGGGCACTGTCAGTCCCCTTTGAACTCAGGAAAAAAACCTAAAACAAACTCGTCAATTTCAACTGCACTTTGACTTCATTTGCTTCGGGTGCCTGGTTAGCCAAAAGAGCGCGAATTGAGAGTTTGTTTTAAGTTAAAAAAAACCTCAGTTATAAGGGAAAATAATAGCAAAAGTTTCAAAAAATAACGATGTGTACAATATAAAAATTGAAGTTTGCAGTTTGGTAGTTTTCGGGGGCATGAATAATATGTCCTTCATGGCAATTG